TGGGTTTTAATTTACTTAATTTAATTAAATTTATGCCGATTTCAAACCATAATAGTACTTCAGTTAGGTTTGTTTTATTCAAACCATAAGGGAGAATCAGGTGTGGTCTTTAGAATCATAAAAAAAATGTTAAGCCCATCATGATCTAGTTTTTATTTTTAAATTATATCTAAAAATATTAGTTTATTAACTGAATTTAATTTATTAACTAATAAATATAAATTATTTTGTTACTTATTATTATTGATAATTATAGTTATTTTTTATTTTTATCAATCAAATTAAATAAAATTAATATTTTTCAATATAATATTTTACAATTTTAATCAAGTTAAACTTTTTTATCGATGCCATAACCTTGCCCGGAGAATAAGTTCAACTCGTTCCCACCTATTGTATGTATATGCAGTTTTTAATTAATGGACTAATATTTTTTTTATGATGTGAAATATACTTACGCATTACAAATTACAACTATTTAGTAAATAAATACAACATACTAATTTAAAAGTCACGCATGCTAAGAACTCATGGATAAGAAGTTTTGGTTTTAACTTATATAATATATAAAGGAAGTGGATTAATTAAGAAATATTAGAGAAAATTATCTTTTATTATATAATTTTAAATAATAAATAATAAAAGTGTAAGAATATTAAATAAACCAAAACAATTTAGATAAAAATTATGAAAATAGTTATGATTACATAATAAATTATTTAAGGTCATACAAATTTGTAAATATTATATTTTAAAAATTAAAATATTAATTCCATTTAGTTTGATTGTTAAAAAATTTAACAACTGTAGCTATTGTTAAAAATTAACAATTAATAAAAGTGCAAAAAGTTGAAATAAACTAAAATTATATTTAGATGAAAACTATGAGAATGTCTGTAAACATACAATAAATTATTAGAATCACATAAATTTTTAAATATTATTTTTTAAAATATTAATTTAATTTAATTTAATTATTAGAAATAATTAATAATTATATCTTTTAATTAAAATAATAAAATAATTAATATTTATTAATTAAAAACTAAATTTTTTTATATACTAATATTTTTAATACTATAATTAATTATTTATATAAAAAACTATATAATTCTAATAATTTATTATGTACCTAATCAAGCAACCTAAAGTCATGTGTACACATAATCAAACGTACAATCCTGTTGACAAGGCAATTT